TCGCGATCCTCCGTGCATTGAAATGTTTTCTGATTACGTAACCGAACTTATCCGTCCTGACAGTATCATACTATATTACCATCATAGAGTACATCAAAACTTGTCTGCTTGTTTGATCCATTTATTCACGCCATCCGTTACATTACCATATCTACATGGCGCGTCATCAGGGTCCATGAGTAAAATCAATTAAAGCGTACTTGCTACACAGTCCGATTGCTATTTCATAATCATCGATTTGGGAAAATTAAACATACTACCCAAAGCAAACTTGCTATTCACCATATTCAATAAGGCGCGCACTCAACGTATTTCATCCGGCCCATTTACCTCGGAAGTGGCAACGTAAATCCCGTCAAACGTGACAGGTTTTCGAAACGCAACGAAAGTTGCGTTTTTCGCGTGAATCTACCGATAAATCCTCGAAACCGCGATCTACGCTGGCCGTTTTGCCAGTGGTTCACGAACTTACCAGATAGGGTGGGCACTGTTTTCAGGAATACAACATATAATCTGGAAAAGTAAATTACATTGACGGGTTTTTGAGGTCGATAATTAGTTCAAATTGGGATCACGTTTTACATGTGTTTCACGGATAGTCGGATCTACGTCACGCTCATGTTCTACTTGATCCCGTCGTATTATTTACCGATTGATTTTAATACATCTGGATTTTGGCAGTCATTTTGTGGCTTTGTTAGCAATCTTGGTGGAGGGAAAATAGCACAAGTTTATCTATTTCTACATGTGAAGGGAAGATGAATTTTCGGATTGAATGACCTGGTGGCGCATGACGGTTCCCTACGTTATAGACGAGTGGCGGCCAGCCTGCAGCTTCGGAGTGGTTCGAATCTTTAGAATATTAGATCGAGAACATCACATATCTACAGCTAAAATGCAGATAACCTGCCAATTACAAATTTCAGAAGGGTCTAACCCTTGGGCAATCAGTACGGTAATTCTGGTAGAAAAGAACACCATTATCGTCGGCAACGTACTTTGGTCACCGTATTCTCATACGTAGTCCAATACGGACTAAATTACTAAATAGAAATATCAACTATTACCTTTCTGCTGGTTGTCATAACTCTTTGATACAACAAACAGTTCAGATGGTCATGTATATCCACGAGCAACTTGTATGCGATTTCTTTCGGTTGACTTATTGTGGAGGCCAATATTATGGAGTTCAGTTCAGCTCCAAGTCCCACTGAGTGCTTCACCTAGCGCTTGTGGTGCATTTGTAATGGGCGGTAGACAAAATAAGCTTCGAATTCGTAGAATAGTGATAAATTGTATTGCCTTGTGATCTATAATTGAGGGTTTGAAGTATTATACTAGTTGTTTTGCTATTCTACTCTCGTGAGTAGTATGCGAAAACCTCTGGCCGTAGAACATCGGAGAATAGCACGGCTAATTATGAAAGTCCAAATATAGAGCGCAGTTCCGTAGATGAGGGTCACTGGTTCTAGTGTCAAAACTGGTAACGGAATATTTGGAGAAGGTCAGGTATTCATATCCTCGTACCCTGAGGCACCTACATACATGTGATTATATTCAAAGTAACCAAGACGGGTCATCAAAGCTTTGCCTTCATTCTTGGACTGGACGACATGCAAAGGCGTCTGCAATTTATTTAGCGGAAGTATCCTATCATCTAGAATCTAACTAGTCACAGTAAAAACGTAAGTAGAGTCAAATTATGGTCCGTGTAACTACCTGTATCTACCTAAAAATCGAGAATGACCCAAGGGTTCACCACCAACTTCCGCCGTCGTATTTGCGAAGTTTGGGTATATCATTCGAAAGGAGTAGGACAACAGGCACAGTGGTGAAATTTGCCAAATTTCAATGTGAATACTGCTGCTCCTAAGAATAATATTGTTGTGTCCGATATTCTTTTCTCACCGTTGGCAGATGAATTTTCGGATTGAATGACCTGGTGGCGCATGACGGTTCCCTACGTTATAGACGAGTGGCGGCCAGCCTGCAGCTTCGGAGTGGTTCGAATCTTTAGAATATTAGATCGAGAACATCACATATCTACAGCTAAAATGCAGATAACCTGCCAATTACAAATTTCAGAAGGGTCTAACCCTTGGGCAATCAGTACGGTAATTCTGGTAGAAAAGAACACCATTATCGTCGGTAACGTATTTTGGTCACCGTATTCTCATACGTAGTCCAATACGGACTAAATTACTAAATAGAAATATCAACTATTACCTTTCTGCTGGTTGTCATAACTCTTTGATACAACAAACAGTTCAGATGGTCATGTATATCCACGAGCAACTTGTATGCGATTTCTTTCGGTTGACTTATTGTGGAGGCCAATATTATGGAGTTCAGTTCAGCTCCAAGTCCCACTGAGTGCTTCACCTAGCGCTTGTGGTGCATTTGTAATGGGCGGTAGACAAAATAAGCTTCGAATTCGTAGAATAGTGATAAATTGTATTGCCTTGTGATCTATAATTGAGGGTTTGAAGTATTATACTAGTTGTTTTGCTATTCTACTCTCGTGAGTAGTATGCGAAAACCTCTGGCCGTAGAACATCGGAGAATAGCACGGCTAATTATGAAAGTCCAAATATAGAGCGCAGTTCCGTAGATGAGGGTCACTGGTTCTAGTGTCAAAACTGGTAACGGAATATTTGGAGAAGGTCAGGTATTCATATCCTCGTACCCTGAGGCACCTACATACATGTGATTATATTCAAAGTAACCAAGACGGGTCATCAAAGCTTTGCCTTCATTCTTGGACTGGACGACATGCAAAGGCAGGTGTCTGCAATTTAGCGGAAGTATCCTATCATCTAGAATCTAACTAGTCACAGTAAAAACGTAAGTAGAGTCAAATTATGGTCCGTGTAACTACCTGTATCTACCTAAAAATCGAGAATGACCCAAGGGTTCACCACCAACTTCCGCCGTCGTATTTGCGAAGTTTGGGTATATCATTCGAAAGGAGTAGGACAACAGGCACAGTGGTGAAATTTGCCAAATTTCAATGTGAATACTGCTGCTCCTAAGAATAATATTGTTGTGTCCGATATTCTTTTCTCACCGTTGGCAAACACACCATCATCTGAATACCTTGAGTCTCGTGATTGTTCCTCGGATGTGGTGAAAGTTTAGTGTGTCCATTTTGATGTCGTTTATTGCTTTTCGTGGTGAGCTATCTCAGACAGCACCCACTGTTGGTTAGATTTGCAACGTTTACACCCAACAGTAGTCTGTATGTGGAACTATTGATCAAAATAATTGTTCTCAGAATAAATAATACATAATGGTCACCTCCGAGCAACCCCACAAGCGACCTCTCACTTTGGGCGCTGTTTACAACAATTATGCCTCACTGTATGTGATTGACAAATGAATATGGTGATTTGACGTTGGTTCTGAAACTCCGCGCAGTTGTAATAAATCTGCCTAATTAACCGCAGTTTTCATTTGCTAATATGTAGACAAAATGCCTATGAATCATAAATGATGACTTATAAATGATTACGAGGAAGTTTGATTGTGCATTTTCTAGCGAGCAGAAAGAAACCACCAGAATCTGGCGCGTTCTTACATTTGCTGACGGTTAAACGTGTATTACCATATTTTGGAACCAACGCTTTAAAATAGGCTCGAACAAGGTGTGCGGCTGGAATAACCGGGGTGCAGCTGGAACAAAGTTCAATAACCTTGAAAAAAAGATGTTTCAAACACGTAGAGGATCCGCTACTTGATTCAGAAGGCCATAATTCTGTGACTATCTTACTAAATTCTCATCACTGGTAACATCTGACAGAAGGCGTCAGCATGGTCAGCCGGAAAAAAAATAAAAAGAAGTTTGGCAATGTTAATGGGCGACACTACAGGAGCCAATCGGAGGTCGCTTTTCTGGCAACATATTCTTCATTATCTTAAGTAGTACTCAAAACTACAAGGAGGCACATGTTGCGGAATGCAATTGCAAACGTTACAGATCTTTATCGATACAATCAAGACCAAGCGGCACACGCGAGTTTTTTTCTCCTCGCACTTTCCGTGATTCAAGGCAACATCTTACTTAAAAATTTTGGAAGAGGTAAAACCGTCGCTTTGACCCAAAACCAAGTGGGCCGGCTGAAGAAAACAAGAAAATTATTCGTGCCATTAAATCTCCAGAGAGCGATCAGGGATTTTGGAGAGTGGACTATACCAGTTTCAGAGATGCACTCATTTGCAAATTAAGCTTATGTTGACGGCTATTTCATTATACAGCAACCTTATGACCAGCTTTTCCGCCAACAAAACATGAGAAACGTATTTCACTTGCTAGTGCAACGGGCAAGTTGCTTTGTTGATTGTTCGTCCAGTGTGAAGTTCATGCATCTGCGAACACCGTACCCTCACTGCTAATTTGCTACACAGTGTCAACAGTTTGTTGGTAAATAACGTATTCTCACGTCGTATTTAACAACAAACTGACTCTTCCTTATATTAAGGGACGTTAGACGGAGAGACGCGAGTTTTATCATGGGATGTATCTGGTACAGTTGAAAATATAAAATGATATCAAATTTGGGTTCGCACCTACTGAGTTCGACGCTAGTAACGTTAGGAGATCTTGTATTTTTAATAGAGATCTTTTTCTGTAATTGAACAAAAAACATCCTGAATTTTAATCGCTAAAGCCGGGGCAGTGACTCCTAAAGAATTGGGCAAATATTAAGTAAAAAATTGATTTGATTTTACCATGAAATCTTAGTTCATCATCATCATCATCAAAGACAGCAACATCAGTGTTGGCACAGGTGCACCGTACAAACATAAGGTTCGTCCAGTTATATATATATATATATATATATATATAATTGTATTAAATGCCCTACAGTGGAGAGAAGAAAAAAGAGTGAGTGAGGGACGTGACCCTGTGCTGGCTTATGTCAAGCATACTGAGGTGCCTACATCTCCAACCGCTCAATCAGGCAATCTGGAAAGAAACTGACAGCACGAACGCCACTGACATCGATTAGCCGCGATTTCTTGCAACGTCTCCAGCCAAGCACAGACGGGGTCACGGGGACCCCATCCTGGAAGTCGCACAACACCAACAACACCCAAACTCTTAATGATCTCCTTCACGCCTTTCTGCCAAGCCATGTGTAGTTCACCTCGCGGTTCGCGCCATCCTGGTGGAGGCACGGAAAACAACACCCGTATCGGTAGGCTGTTTCGGCATGCGTAGCACATGACCCAGCCATCGTAGTCGATGATGCTGGATGTTTTCCCGGATTAGGGTGTCTGCAGCACAACCAAATACCCGTTTTCTAATTGCCTCGTTACTGACTCGCTGACGCCATCCATAACCAACCACACTTCTGAGGTATCGGTGGCCGAAAACCTGAAGACGCCTCACATTATCTGTCCGCAGAGGTCATGTCTCGCACCCATACAACAACACAGCCCTTACTGTAGCCTGGTACACATGACCCGTAAAATCCTGTAAGATGCCTTGTTGACGCCACAAGTGACGCAAATTAGCAAACGTGATTCGAGCCTTTGAGATTCTCGCACAGACTCCATTATCGCACTGACTCCATTAGACCCACTTCCGTCAGAGCTAATACAACTACCGAGGTATGTAACGTTTTTCACAATCTGCAGTGGTTCTCCTTGAATTGTAAGGGATATGTTCGCAGATGGCACGTTCTGAAGCAGGACTTTGCACTTTGAAAATGAAAGGCGCATGGCAAAAGTTGGTATGATGGCGGTCGGTTTACTTAACAGTGATTACGCTTCGCTATGGTCTTCAAAGATGAGGGCGATGTCATCTGCGTACTCCAGATCGACAGGGTTCTCACCAGCAACAAGTTAAACACTGTGGTTTTGAAAAACGCCCAGTGCTCGTCTCACTATTTCATCAATGACGAAGCTGAACAAAAATGGAGGGAGTGAACATCCTTGTCTGGTACCACTTTTTGTAGGGAACATTTTGGAGACCTCACCATACACCCTAACCCGCCCAGAATTATATGAATATAGAGATCGGATTACGCTTACAAACTTCTGGGCATACTCTGTTGAGCAAGTGTGGTTAACAGAACTCATCAATCAACAGAATCGAACGCACCTTTGAAGTAAAGGAATACCGGGATTGTGGATTTTCTGTACATGTGGCGTTGCTCTAACACCTGAGGGATTCTCACGAGTCAAGACTTAGGATGCCGCCATAAGACTACGAAGTATCGATGACGGCAGAAGCCTTGTCACAACAGGCGTCAAGCTAACACCTCTGTGGTTATCGCATTCACTGCGAGTGCCCTTTTTGAAAGTGGGCACCACTATCGATTCACCCCAGTTGTCTGGGACGGTCTCCTTCTCCCGGATAAACCCAAATAGGCTAGACAGGCACTGGCTGAGAAATCCACCGCCATCCTTGGAAAGAGCAGGTAGAAGGTCGTCGGGACCAGCAGCAAGGTGACGCTTCAGTAGAGAAATGCATTCGGACACTTCTGAGGCTGGAGGCGGCTCCATATTTACGGTCCGCCTTTCTGTTGAAGGCCAAGTTTCTGGATTGTAGGTGGCAGATGGCCAGCTGAATTGCTCCTCGAAGTACTGCGCTGAGCGATCCAAACGATCTGTTTTGTTGCATACCAGTGAGCCATTTTTGTCCCTGATTATTTCGCTGACAAGTGGTTTCCAAGGACCAGTCGAACGAATGAAATGGAACAATTTGCGCACGTTTCCAGCTTTCTTTGCGTCTTCCATTTCTTCGACCTTTCGGGTCCACCAAGCGCGGACACTTATTTTCATCTTGCGTCTGATGATGCGCCGGGTGGAATTGTGGTGGCGACCAGTTGGAATCTGCCGCCGGGTCTCCAGCAAAGACACGGTTCTATCATAGGTCCAATGCTTGTATGAGGTTGGCTGGGTTGTACCGCAAGCAGACGCTACTGCTTCGAGTAGTGCTTTGAATATTTTTCCCAGTTGTCGTTGATATCCGACACCGTACCGTCGGGCACGCATTCGAGGAGCTGGTTCTGATAGTTTCGTTTGGATTCTGGGTCCACTAGCTTCTCAGTGGCTAAGCAAGGTGTACGCGTTTTGCGTACACCTGAAAAGCGCAATGAAAAGCAGCAGCGTACAAGAGCACGGTCGGAGTCCACGCTGGTGTTCCAGCAGGAGCGGCAGGCGGTGATTGACACTCGCCACCGATAACTGACGGCGATGTAGTCTATTTGGATTCAGCGCTGGTTTGATGGTAGGCACCACGTTGTCAAGCGAGTTCCGCTGTTCCGGAAATTCGTAGTGCAAAGGAACAGCCTGCGATCAGCAAACATCTGAAGTAAACGGTCTCGGTTGTCTGTGCGTCTCGTGTCCAATCCAAGACGGACACCCACTCGGGCCTCAACAGCGCTCAGTCTACCTACCTGGCGTTCATATCACCAGCGAACACAACTATATCTGAGCATTTAGCCTGCTGTAGGGAGGCACTTAGAGCGTCATAGAAACTGTCCTTGGCAGATTCAGAGCTATATTCACTTGTGGTGTAATCAGACACAATAAACAGGGTGCGATAAACCGCATTTTCCCTAGATTCTCTCACCGATATTGCCAAACGAACCGCACAGGAGCGACTATCAAGGGGTCGCCAATCAAGCAGACACGTTTCCGCTCGTTTGCTCAATACAATACCCACCCCAACATATCCGGCTGCAGCGGCCTCTACATCACCGGAGATGCGCAGTCGAAACATGGATGAGAGAGAGGGAACAGTCACTTCGATTACAGTACCTGCGTCCTGCGTCTTTGTTTCTGACAGCCAACATACATCAATACAGAGAGAATACAGCGTACGCGCAAGAGCCACCCGTTGACCTGCTTGCTCCAGTGTGCGAACATTGAAGGTGGTTAATAGACTGGTTTTCGGGGTTTGAAAAAAGGCTTTGAAATGTTTAGAGTTGTACTTAAACTTGGACGTGCATAGGTTGCAGCTGATTGTGATGCAGGGCGAGCAACACGGTGAGTCCTAGAGCTGGGACCTGCCGAGGAAGTATTCAAATTTGGCCGCGGGAGGGTGGAAGACGGAAAACGTGAAATTGTAAGAAGGGAGGCGTCAGAAGTAGTACGTATGCAGCAAGTAAGGCTACCCGGCTGATGGCACCACGCGACGCCCGATGTGGCATGAGAGTATTATTAGTTGTGTCGGCCATGGTTGTACGAGGCCTGGGATACTGCCAGGGCGCCCACACCTAGAAAGGAGGACGATTAGGACTCAAACGCCTAACCGCAAGGCAGCGGTGTTCGGCTGGAAATGCAAGTACATTACTCTCTTTTTTACGGACGTAACACGTCGCCGTACATGTTCCAATCACCAACCTGGAGGGCCAGGAGACTGTGTTCGTCGGAGTTCTACCCATGGACCAACCTGGTATGAGAGACTCTGTGAGCATCGTGCGGACACCCTCCAGTATAGCCCACAGGGTCGCCGAGGTAAACAAACTGCCACACCTCGGTAAGGTTCAGTCTTTTCGTGACGAAAACTCTTAGTTATGAGCTTTGCAAATCTCCTATTTGCACGAGCAGCCTGTTTTTAACTAAGAAGAATGGTAAACAACAAGGTGGAGGAAAATTGCAACGAAGAAGACGTCACTAAATATACAGTTATTGTGAGCCTGTGTGATGCCGTCTCTATGGTTGAAAGCTGAAGTGCTTTTGTTCCGCCAAAGTGGACAAGCCGTTGCGCGGTGAATTTGCGGGCACACGACACTGCGTGAATTTGTTCCCTGAGATAAAAGTTATTTTCATGATGGAGTTGTTTCACAAGTGGTCAC